GGGGGGGGGGGAGAAGGGTATAAAAAGGAGGACAAAAACATGGTTGGAGGACGGTATGGAGGAGGAATGGATACACAACGTTTAGTGTGGATGGGGAAGGGAGAGGAGGTCTTTCGTTGGATTAAGCGCTCGATTGCCACGTACGCCGACAACCTCCTGTCAAAGGGATGGTTCTGCATGGACCCTGTAGCCTCTTTCACGCTCCCATTATTCCTCCATTTACCCCACTTGAACGAGAATTATGATCCGCTATACCTGCCTTATTCTCATTGGAACGACGACGGTCATTCTCATACGGAATATAGGAATCTTGCTCCCTCCAAGATTCGTTCGTCGGGTCCTACATGACGGTGCCACCCAAGACAAAGTTAAAGAATGGAGAATTGCTACGGGACTGAACCAGCCATGGAGACAGAGCGCATGACACGCTATCATTGAAAGCAAATTCATGTTAAAGGATCTATCAATTTGCTTGTAACTTCCATTCGTTACTTTCACAGAGACTCTGCCTTTGCCGGGTGCTTTTTTTGGGCGAGCTGGCCCCCGAGGGAAGGTCACTGAAGGTGTGACAACCCTGTGTATGAATGATCACAGTTACAAAATTGCCATTCTATTACAGCAACCGAAGTACAGTAGCGTCTTTGACTCCCCGTTGATAATCAAAGAACGCGGTATCAGAGGGCTCCTCATTTTGATGCATGGCGAATTTATATTTGCGAAAGCTGGTCCATTTGCCCAATGCATGTTTGCTCGGCCACGCATGACACGCATTTTTAAGAAAAAGAGGCGTACGACGCCGATTCTTTTCCGCCTTCCCACCAGACACGTGGCGTGAAAGGACCTGGGAAATTATAGCGTGCTAACTAGAGCATGACCTGCGTAGAGACTCGACTCATTCGACCGCTGCTACCACTCTCCAGACCTCTGGCTATCATCTCGTCCTTCAGTTAGTACGCTGCTGGTTCAGGGTATGATTATAGGTCTTTACATTTTCATGTAATATATAATCATAGGCTCTTTAATTTATATACTCTTGAACGAGATATGGGCCGTCGCTTCCAAGAGGGGTTGTCGGAAGGAGCTCCAGGCTTTCTGCTACGGGCTTTCCGACCCTCAAAAGAAAAAAGTAAGGGCACAATTGCCCTTTAGCTCAATTTTGACGTGTATACACGTCATTATGGAAGTCGCCGTGCCTGGTAACGCGTTGCATGCGAAACGGATGATGGGGTCGCCATCAGCCCTCGCTTAGGACCTAAAACAATCAGTGTGTTTCATTTGCCTAGCAGGAAGTGGAAGACTTTTGTCCAGTACGGTGTGCTGGCACCCAATGATGTACTGATTATAAAAATACCTTCTTTTTGGGCTTAATTCGAAGCTTGGATGGTTCAAGAATGTGCAAAGGCGGAAAGCAAAGGACGTGGAGAATCTCCCGACACGATCCTTAGTATAGAAATGCCTCGATCACGAAACACGTCTAAATAAGCCTAACGAGTGAGTGCCGGCCTGGAAAAACAGTACATATTGTTTGTATCCTGTTGATTGTAAATGAGGGGTCTATATTCTGCGCAATGTAGACCAATTGCCATACATTCTTTTTCACATATTCTTTCCAGTCGTCGGGCAGGTAATTCTTGTAGAAGAAAAAAAGGTCATGCGGCTTCTTCCCCGCCTTTTCTACGTGGCAATTCCATTATTTTGGAGCTTGCTTCCTTATGTCATATCGGAGGATCACCTTCTCCCCTTCAAGCTCTGCGGACCCGATGAGTTGGGTGTCGAGGTGATCCGCCTGAACGCCTGGCCGCTGGTCCCTGGGAGGGAATTGACCATCACCGCCATCTACACTCCGAATGTGACGGTGACGGGGGGAGAAGCGCTGGTAACAGGTGCATTTAAGGAAGCAAGATAGGCTCAAGGGAAAAGGGGGGAATCAGACGTTAATGAGAAATTGTTTTGACCAGGTTGCGATGGAGATCAATTGTACACCGTGGTAAATAGCGACACACATCGCACAAACGAGGCTTTTCCCCATGTCCTGGCACTGTTTTCACTCTCGCACTCTCTCCCTTCCTTCATTCCGCAGTGCACGTGCTCGGGATTCCCCTGACCGAGAGACGTGCGATCTGCCACGAGTCCGGTGTGCACTGTCCCCTCCTGCCGCATCACTCCACAACCTCCGTCATCCATGCCCACGTCCCGGGTCTCACGCCAGGCTTCGGAGTGGACGCACGTGTTGAATTGTTTGATGGGAGGGGTAGACGGTTGACTTGCCTGGACGCGCGGGTGGAGGTCCGCACCCACCCCTTGATCGGAGTACCTAGCTGGTCGAAACCCTCCTTGGCTTTGTCGCCCACCTTGTCTCCCGATTCCCCCACCACCACCCCCTTCGCTTCCTCATCTTCGCCCGTAGTTTCCTCTCTCTCCTCGTTGCTTTCCTCCCTGCCTGCGCAGTCGGCAGCAGTGGCTTTGAGCTCTACAGAGGATGGCACCACAGGAATCAAACAAGCGTTGGATCAGTTTATAAAATTGAGACATCAGGACTTCGCAGTTGAGGCGCAGGACCCAAGAGACGAAAGCACAAGCGATAGAAATGGACCATTACGTGAGGATCATGGGGACAGGATACGCTTGCGAAGGGAGTGAAAGTACTTTAACTTTTACCCGTACAGAGCGCATGATGCCCTCCGCCACGTTCTAGGCGGCTACCTGCTTTAAAGCGGGAGATCATCCGACTCACGACTGATATGCCTCAATAAATTGTACGTAAGTTCATTTTGCTGAAGCAGGGCGTGGATAGATCGACCCGTCAATATGGGACAGTTCCCCCTCCTTTTTGGATGGGGTACTTATGCCGGGGTATCAGTCTGCAAGCTCCTGTGGCCGCTGACAGATCTTAAAGCATCATCGAATACTCCATCAAAATAACGATTCTTGCAAAGTTACATCTGCTTGTAGACATGAACTTTAACGACAGCAACTTAAAGAAAAAGGGAAAGTTCTCATGACGTAAGACGCAATCTGGCCCATATTTGAAAAGTTGAACCTCCCCGGCACAAACGTGCTGCATTTTCTTTTTCGTGTAAGCCAATGCACGATGACCAGGCACATTCTTTTTCGGGGACACGTTACGCGTACATGTGTCCTTTCAAGGTAATTATGCATATTAGCCACAAGGCAAATTGCTTGATCGTTGACTGGTATCATGGGACCTTCAAGCTTCTTTTGGACAAGAATCTTCAAAGAACGGTACCAGGCGATTATGGTGGTCAAATTTGATCGATAGAAAGTTAAAATTCCAAAAAACTAATGTAACAATTAATCCTATCACTTTTGAAGGCAGTCAAGGCTACGTACCTCGTTGACAGCAGCCATCTCGTCGTCCAATTTTTCCTCTTCCTCGTCCTTGCTTGAGTACTTGACACCACAATCAAGCATGTACGGTACTCCTTCCGGTGGCATTCAGCAGGAAGAAAAAGCGGAGTTCGGCTCAGCTATAGCAGGGGGGATGACCTCCGGAGGCTCCGATATGACGGGGAGAACTCCGATGGAAGTAGAACTTCGCGACACCCGTTTCCATCAAGCCCTGTTGGGGGAATGGTTTGGGACCACGGCCTTCGTTTTTTTCCTGGTCCTAAGTATCATGACCGCAGATGGGGACCCGGTCCGTATCGGCCTCGTGGCCGGCTTGAGTTTTTCCTGCCTCGTTTACATGCTCGCAAGCGTTTCCGGGGCCCATTTTAACCCTGCCGTCACGTTTGGTATGTGGGCAAGTCGTCGAATTACTGGATTACGCGCCGCTTGCTATGTGCTCTTCCAGCTCCTCGGGGCGATGACCGGTGCGGCATTGGCCCAAAGCGTGAGTCGCAGCATGTTTCGCGGCGTGAATGGCGGTGTCAACGCATTGGCCTCGGGGGTCTCGACTGGGTCGGCCTTCTGGATCGAGCTCTTGGGCACGCTCTTCTTGGTAATGGCGGTACTGGCTGCTTCAGATTCGGAGCTGGGAGCACAGTGGCCTCACCGTCGGGTCCTGATTCCGATGGAGGTGGGATTCACCATCTTCCTCGCCCATGTGGTGCTGATTCCTTTTACAGGATGTTCCATCAACCCCGCGCGTTCGTTTGGCACCGCCGTGGTCGGACATTATTGGCGGCAGCATTGGGTATGGTGGGTGGCACCCTTTGTGGGGGCCTTGACGGCCTCTTTGTTGTATTCCGTTGTCTTCTTCGCGAACGAGGCGCCAAAGGAGGAATTTCCGGTCGAGGAAGGGCGGAGGGAGGAGGGGAAGAGTGGGGTTGGCAGGATGTTCTCCCGGACGCGGGGGGAGCAGGGAAACAGGGTAGGGACAGATCGGAGCGGCGTAGGAGGGATGCCAACATCGAGCGGGTGAGTGGTACGTATGTCGGCCGGAGGGAGGGAGGGAGGGAGGGAGGGAGGGAGCGAGGGGAGGGGGAGGGGACACGGAGGGGAGGGGAGGGGGGGGATGGTAGGGGGGGGATAGGGTTTAATGAAGGAATCCTCTATGAGATGGCGTGTTTGCATTCCTTTTCCACGTGTGGAAAGTCGCTGATCCGTTGCACGTGGGCACGAACGAAGGGGGTCTACGGGAAGCAGATTGGGGCGGGTCGTGCGCGAGGCGGAACGAAGGCCCTTGATCGAGTAAGTCTGCGGAGTGGGTGTCGCTGTCTTCCGCCTGGTAGATTTTTAAACCGATACGATTCAACGGTATGGACCTCTTTCACATTCATTCCTATGCCCTTTCCTTCCTTATCGGTAGCCCTCAGGACTGCTGCAGACAGGAGAAAGGAAGATGGGAGGGATGGAGGGAGGAGCAGCGGGTGGGGGAGAGAGGAAGGAAAATGAAGGAAAGGGAAGCGATGGATGTGCCTATGGCTGTACCAGGACCTGAGAGAGAGGCGGTGAGGAGCAAAAGTGGGAGGGTGCTGGTATCGATGGAGGTGTGAGAGGAGGAAAGGAGGCACAGAGGGATGTAGAAGTCGAGCCAATGAAAGAGGGAAGAGGGGAGGGGAGAAAAAGAGGGGGAGAGACGTGGCGGGAGGACGCTAGCGGGCTTGTTTGACGCAATGGAAGGTGGCTGGGTGCAGGGCCTGAGGGTCCGGCACACGTTGTCCGTGATGGCACTCCATCGTCACTGACGAGGGTATGCTCATTCATCACGAGGCAAGCATTCGTGCTTTTTCCCCCCTTTCCCTCCTCCCTTCCCCCTCTCCTTGTCGGAGGAGGGAGGGACGCGGGGGTCCTGCGACGGTGGCATCGAGTGCAGAGTATAGGCGAGGGCATGAGGCCCGAAGGGATCAAGACGATTCAAGAAAACCAAAGACAGTGCACACGGCGGTGCAGCGCATGGGAGTTGCAACGAAGCGGTCCGTTTTTGATTTCGTGCTCATTGATGTGCTTACATGGAAAATATCACTATTGAGCCTTCTTGCCCCTCCCATTCACATCGTATAGTACTGATGACGAAGTATGCGAGGGCACTCCTCCTTCCCCCCCTCCCTCCCTCCCATGCGTCCTCCCAAACCTCATGGTCCCATTCACAGCCTTCTTCCCTCCTCTTCCCCTCCCCATCCCCTTCAACCTTCGTCTTTTTGCCCCTCCATTATGCCCTTTTATGCCTTCAAAATATGTGGCTGGGATTGCCACACGACTGAGATGATTCTCCTTCCATCGCCGCGGGGCAGACACCTCCTTACCACAACCAGCCTTTGTCGCCGCCCGCATCGACAGAACCTCCCTCTGTCCCTCCCTGCCCTTCCCTCCCTCCCTCCCTCCCTCCCTCCTTCCTTTCCGCCCGTACGCCTGCACAAGCAGGAAGAATCCTCTTTTTCTCCCCCCTCGCCCTTTCTCCCCTCCTTTCTCATCTTAACTGTCTTCCCGATCCAATACTGGACCGACTTTCTTGCTTCCTCCTCCTCTTCCTCCTCTTCCCTTCAGTGATCCATCAACCCCTTAGTTCTCATACTCCCTCCTTCCCTCCCTCCCTCCCTCCCTCCCTCCCTCCCTGGTCTCTCCCCTAATCTTTCAGGGGTGACCACTTCCCTCCTTCATCGCTCCTCCTGTCTTTAGGGCCAATCCAACGACTCAAGGAACTTGTCAATGCTCTCGTCCCCTCCCTTCCCTCCCCCCCTTCCTCCCCCTCCCCCTCCCGCCCTTCCTCCCCCCCCGCCTCGACCCTCCCAGGATTTGCTCTCAAAGGATCTCCCGCCCGCGTTCTTCTTCCAGGGCGCCGAGGAACGACCGCCAC